GGTATTCACCCATGTCGTCCAACTCAAATTGAGCTGTCTCGTATTTGGGGTCACGCGAACTGAGACTAATAGCAAAATTCTCGTCGGGCCGAGCACCAATTCTGGCTTCGCGACCCCCCTTAGGGAGCGAAAACGAACTCGGAGATGGACGTGAGCTCGGCATAGGGAGTGAGATCGTTAAAGGATGCATGGCCGAACTCGAAGCGGTGCCACCTCTGTTAGCAGTGGGGACACGCTGGTTTTTCCTAACTAACGGTTGGAGATTCGAAGTAGAACCACCGGACGAGTCGTCGTCGCGCCGAGGAGAATAATCGATGGCGATAGAACTGTTAGAATTCAGAGAATCAGACTCTTCGCAATCATTCGAAGACATCACGGAAGATCGGTCGGTAAACCTAGAAATCTTATCAAAAAACTTGAAGATTCGACTGACAATGCACAGAGATCTGGTTGAAAATATGAAGATCTGACCGGGAAACCCAGAATTGAATCGAAAGACAAATCTAGAGAGAGAAGTTTACCTTTCTTGGGAGAGATCGAGAAGCAAATGAGAAGAAGTGAGGCATATCTCTCGCTTTTATAGACCAAGCTCGGAAGACGAAGAGTCGCCATTCGATATTCGCGCACCGCTTCCAATAGCCAATCAGAATCAAGCAAAAGTTGGGCCGAAAAGCTCAGCCTCCTGACCGTATCAACGAGCTCAGCTTCAAAATGCTCGTCGACTGTTGGGGGGGCTACTGTTGGGCATGGGCTTCCTACATGAAGATCGTGAAGCCCATCTCCTCAAGCTCGGCCCACCAACATTTCATGCCCAACTCAGATCCCAAGGAAAACTCCACACAACCCCACCTCCTCCTTTTAGTATAAAAAAGGGACCCTCTCATTGAGTTGTCCCATCATCTTACCTCTTTTGGAGAAGTACAAGGGACTCAAAAACTAATCGTTTTAGGACTCTAACTTCCGATATAAGAAGTGAGGATTCTGGTTGGCACTCCGCCGGAATAATCACACGAGCTCATCGAACACATTATCATATATTCAGTTCATTACCACAATCCATTCTCACGTTCCGACCTCCAAATCAGATCAATCCGACCTCGTTACTCAGGCAGTTGACACTCAGTGAAGAAGAGACAAAGTTCGTCAGTCTATAAGCTTCCGAGCTCAAACTCCTTTCCATATTTCCGTATCAATTAAATTATTGTAATCTATTTTCGAGCATATTATCAATAAACGAGAATTTCCGAGATTCTCTACTGTTACAAATGTATTGTCGAACTCATGTATCAACAATTGGCGCACCAGGTAGGGGCCAATTGTCGATACATTTTATACTAATACAAACCATTAAACATATTTGGTTTAATGGTTTGTATTAGTATCGAAGTTACTACTAAAGCTTAACTCTTTATTATGTTGACAAACAATGTTACAATATAAATTACTAGGAATTGCCCACGCGTTGCGTGGGTAAAAATTAACATGGCTAAAATTAATATTAAAATTTTATAGTTATTGATTATTCGTGTATTTAATATTATATAAATTTGCTATTTATAGTAAAAATTATTTAAGCTAGAAGACTAAACATTTGTAGCAAATTGTTGGACATATACAATGTTAAATAGAAAAAGAAATAGACCATTTATTGATAAAAATTTATAGCATATGGTACAAATCCTTGACTTGAATGTCTAAATCAACATTCACTACGTTTCCTGAAAACATTATTGGTCGTTTTTTATTTTTTGCATCAAATATGTATACGTCTGCTTTGTTTCTACCGGGACATTAATATCATCTCAACAGAGATGTTGGAATGCATCTTTTTATTTATTTTATTGAACCTTGAATCATAAGGAGAATAATTGAGGTTTGATTGTATTCTTGTCTCACTCTATTTGATGTTTTTAATCATAAATTGATGTGATTTTTATCTTTCATATCAATTCACTGGTGAAGTAATTATGTTTTTTTGGATTTACAATGTTTGGTGGAGTGAAGTTTTCTTTCGAGAGTTTGGTTACGAAAGTTACCTTGTCCGACGCAAATTTTTTCAATTGCATTAGAGGATAATAGTTAAATTAGTAAATTGAGTTTAAAAGCTATGAAAATATTTTAAAAAATTAAATATTATAGTTATTCTGAAGTTCTAAAAGAAAATTTTAAAGAATTTGAAAAGATATGTTGAAAAAAAAAAACAATTATCTATTAGAATATGGTTTACATGT